AGTAATTTTACGCGTTCCTTTCCCACTTTGTCTAACTGAGAGCGCGACAAAAATTTGCTGAACACTATTTGTTCGAAACAAATTGATTTTGATTTTCTGTCCGAACGACTTGATGATTCGGGTTATTTGCCCTCAAAATCGCATGTAGGCAACAATATCATCAGTTTTTCGCTTCAGAACAAAATAAAATGTGCCGAACTGAACGGTGAACCGTACTTCAGCACCATCTCCGGCAAAAATGTTTTGAGAGCAAATAAAAAGTTGTTCGGACACGAACCGTGAATCCGCCTTAAACAGTCGTGGAGTCTTTCGTAGTATTAACAGCTTTGCTCGTAGGGGACCTGCAGAGGCTTTAAATTTGAGACACAGACTTGCATAGTATTTTTTTTTTTAATGAAGGAGCTGTTTCCTTCCAAGATCGACTAGCTTAACTCTTAACCGCTCCTAACAATACCTCAGAATGAAATAAAAACGTTTTGTTTTAAATGTCAGTTAAGTATTTTATTATATTTAGGTCAACAAAATAGTAATTTCACATCAAACAGTAAGTAGCTAAACCATATAAAATGATAACAAACAAAACAGAATTCATATATCTTACTCTCTAACGTACGGTCATGTGCAAAATAATAGGGACACGTCATTTTGACCAGTTTTGGTTTTTTTGTTGAATGTGTATAAATTTTTATAAAAATACAGTTCATTATGACAATATGACAATACGAGTGCAAATTTCAAACTTTGCAGTAATTAAAAAAAATTCAACAAAATGTTACAAGAACAACAAACTTTTTATTAAGAATCTGTAGGAAAATTCTAAACATGCAATTTTATAGCCCGTTAAATTCTAGCTTAATAAAGTGCAATTTTTAAGGGGCTTAGAATTCGGATTGATTTTTGGCAATTTATTATTTTCTTCTATACAAAAAGAATTTTCGAACAAACTTTGTATAGAAGAAAACGCGTGACACCGTCAGCTAAAAAATTATCAAAAATCAACGCGAATACTAAGCCACTTGAAAATTTCTCTCTATTAAGCTGGAATTTAATGGGCTATAAAATTGCATGTTTAGAATTTTCCTACAGATTCTTAACAAAAAGTTTGTTGTTCTTGCAACATTTTGTGGAATTTTTCTTATTCTACTACAAAGTTTGAAATAATTTCTCATATTGTTTTTATTACATAATGATTGTATTTTTATAAAAAGTTATACACATTCAACAAAAAAAAAATAAAACTGGTAAAAATGTCGCGCCCTTCTCAAGTAGCACACTTGTATATAACTTGGTGTAAATTTGTAAATTTTGGTACAATTAATTAGTTTTATACCAAAATTCGTAAATATACACCAAGTTATAAATACACCAGTGTGCTACTTGAGCTACTATTTTCCACTTGACTGTATGAATGTATATTTATACATTGTAAGGAATTGCAATGTGGCAACACTCCTATTACTTTGTAAGCGAAATATGTACATATATGGTAACCCTATGAGAACGAAGAGAAACAAAGAAAATAAATGAAAATGGACACTTCCGTTCTGGTAAAGTAAAGGATAAGACGCACATCTTTATTTGTCGGATAAGTACATTAATAACCAGGCCATCAAGCGTTTATAGCCTTCATAAGTGGGCAACTATTGCGAACCTCATAAAAGCAAAGTAAGAAACCAAAAATTTTGTTAAATACTGGGTGAATACGTCAGAGAAACCGGGCGTGAGAGAAAGCCTCGTGGAGGTGCTTCAGAGTGCTGGTATGAGCTTCCCAAAAACTGCTACGATTGCACAATTGCGGTCCCTATGTGCTGATGTAGTGGGTGAAGGCTCTGCAGCTTACGGAGCAAGTTTGGAAGCTGAGGAAATTGTACCTGCGGTCAACGATGCGGTCAGTGATGTGGTCAGCGATACGGTCCAAGATATAACTGCGGTCATTGAAAATGTTGGTGTTGAGGTAGAATCATGTGCTGGTCCTGTAACCAAAGCAGCATACGTGGCCTCGTTAGACGAGGAAATTTCGAACCTTCAGAAGCAGCGCCAAATCTTGCTTCTACAGCGTGAGATCGGGCAGCTGCGGGTGCAGACAGCGGTCCAGTAGAATACTTCGGTCGACATGTCCGTAACCGACTCCATGATCAACAAACTTACTGGCGATGATGGGCAGGATGCTACAAAGTGGTTTATTGATTTGGAGAGTGTGTTGGAACTGATGCAATTGAATGATCGTTCGAAATTGTTGTGCCTTCGCCGATTGCTAGATGGGTTTTCACATTCGAGAATTTCAACTATAAAGTCAAACATCGGGCGGCAACCTCTATGGCTCATGTAGATACTGNGAAGCTGAGGAAATTGTACCTGCGGTCAACGATGCGGTCAGTGATGTGGTCAGCGATACGGTCCAAGATATAACTGCGGTCATTGAAAATGTTGGTGCTGAGGTAGAATCATGTGCTGGTCCTGTAACCAAAGCAGCATACGTGGCCTCGTTAGACGAGGAAATTTCGAACCTTCAGAAGCAGCGCCAAATCTTGCTTCTACAGCGTGAGATCGGGCAGCTGCGGGTGCAGACAGCGGTCCAGTAGAATACTTCGGTCGACATGTCCGTAACCGACTCCATGATCAACAAACTTACTGGCGATGATGGGCAGGATGCTACAAGGTGGTTTATTGATTTGGAGAGTGTGTTGGAACTGATGAAATTGAATGATCGTTCGAAATTGTTGTGCCTTCGCCGATTGCTAGATGGGTTTTCACATTCGAGAATTTCAGCTATAAAGTCAAACATCGGGCGGCAACCTCTATGGCTCATGTAGATACTATATGATAGATAGTGATAATATAAGTGACATTGATTTTAAGCTACAAATAACACAGAATAGGGATGAGAATATTAAAATACTGAGGTCAAATTTAGAAAAAGCTCCGGTTCTGAACTATGAGTTGATTGATGGGGTTGTGTTCAGGAAGGATGTCGGGGGGCATATTAGATTATATGTCCCTAAAGAAATGGAAAATAATGTCATCAGGGCCATTCACGAGAAAATAGGACATATGGCGGTGCAGAAAACTGTAGAGCAGTTAAAATGAAATTATTGGTTTCCANTGATTTTAAGCTACAAATAACACAGAATAGGGATGAGAATATTAAAATACTGAGGTCAAATTTAGAAAAAGCTCCGGTTCCGAACTATAAGTTGATTGATGGGGTCGTGTTCAGGAAGGATGTCGGGGGGCATATTAGATTATATGTCCCTAAAGAAATGGAAAATAATGTCATCAGGGCCATTCACGAGAAAATAGGACATATGGCGGTGCAGAAAACTGTAGAGCAGTTAAAAAGAAATTATTGGTTTCCAAAGTTGAGGAAAAGGGTGAAAAATTTTATAAGGAACTGTCTTAAGTGCATAATGTATTCACCGGAGTCACGTAGCAATCGGCATAATATTTATATCCCTATACATATAGATCACTTTGGCCCATTACCGTCGTTGCGATCCGTTAGAAAGCATTTCCTTGTGGTGGTGGATAGTTTTACAAAACATGTAAAGCTGTATCCGGTGAAGACGACTAGTACCAAGGAGGTGTGTGTGGCTTTGCAAACATACTTTGATTACTACAGTCGTCCGAAGAGGGTGGTGAGTGACGGAGGTTCATGTTTTACTGGGCAGGCATTCTCCAAATTTGTAGAGGATGATAACATTGTTCATGTTAAGGTAGCGGTGACATCCCCTCAAGCGAACGGACAGGTTGAGAGGGTCAACAGGGTCTTAAAGGCAATGTTGGCCAAGCTCACCGAACCAGTTGATCATTCCGATTGGGTAAGCAAGTTAACAAAAGTCGAGTTTGCTATTAATAACACGGTACATGCCTCGACATGCCCTTGTGAGTTGTTGTGCGGAGCTCAACAGCGCGGTAGAATTGTAGATGAACTAACCGAGTTTTTAGCTGAAAAAGAAGTTACACAACCTTGCGATTTAGTTAAAACTCGGAGTGAGGCTTTAGAGTGCATTGAAAAGTCACAGGATTATAATCTTAAACACTTACTTAAGCATAGTGCACCGGCTCGGGTTTATGAAGTGGGGGACTTTGTACTCATGAAAAATGTGGACACTACCGCGGGAGTGAATAAGAAATCAATTGCGAAATATCGGGGTCCTTACGTGATACATAAGAAACTGCCAAACGATCGATACGTTTTGCGTGACATCGAAAATTGTCAGATTACACAAATGCCGTATGACGGAGTAGTAGACGCAAAGCGGTTACGAATGTGGTTAACGCCAATATCCGAGTCAGACGCTGTAGACCCTAAAAATTGTAGCGACACTCAACCAAAATTTATTTCATAAGTTATATTGATTGATCGAGTCGATCAATATGTCAGGATGGTCGAGTTGTAAGGAATTGCAATGTGACAACACTCCTATTAGTTTGTAAGCGAAATATGTACAGATATGGTAACCCTATGAGAACGAAGAGAAACAAAGAAAATAAAGGAAAATGGAGACTTCCGTTTTGGTAGAGCAAGGGATAANCGAGTCGATCAATATGTCAGGATGGTCGAGTTGTAAGGAATTGCAATGTGACAACACTCCTATTAGTTTGTAAGCGAAATATGTACAGATATGGTAACCCTATGAGAACGAAGAGAAACAAAGAAAATAAAGGAAAATGGAGACTTCCGTTTTGGTAGAGCAAGGGATAAGACGCACATCTTTATTTGTCGGATAAAATCCATTAATTACCAGGCCATCAAGCGTTTATGACATAGTATATGTATGTATATGCATATGTATGCACATCTATATACAGGAAAAGTAGGCGTTTAATATATTGACCAGTNAGAAACAAAGAAAATAAAGGAAAATGGAGACTTCCGTTTTGGTAGAGCAAAGGATAAGACGCACATCTTTATTTGTCGGATAAAATCCATCAATTACCAGGCCATCAAGCGTTTATGACATAGTATATGTATGTATATGCATATGTATGCACATCTATATACAGGAAAAGTAGGCGTTTAATATATTTATCAGCTCTGTATATTTTCTCTTGATTTCTTTCATAATTCGAACATTAAGTATGCTAATGTGGAAATTTTGTGTGGTTTAAATATCTCGTTAATTTTTAGTATTTTGTAAAATTACCTATACAAAACCTTTAATTCTTCAAAGTACTGTACAAAGTTTAAAATTTGGGTTTTTATGTTGTTAGTTATATAATGACCTAGTCTCATAAAAAATTAATTAACATTTAATAATCTTGAGAAAGTGGTCAAAATATTGCACACCTACTTTTTTGCCCCTGCGTGTAATTATACATATTATCCACATACACTCGCTCCATTATATATGCGTTCACGCCTGATTTTATAAATATTCACAATGTTTTGCAAGCTATAATTTTTTTTGTTATTTTTGTACAAAAATATGGTTCATGCTACAAACAAAACTGTTTAAATCAAAGTCTCAAAGTGTATACAAAATTGAGGAACATTTAATTCAATTTTGGTTTAAAAATGTACAACTTTAAAGTGTCTAGGAATCGCGTTGATTTTCAATAATTTTTTTTGCGGGCAGCTTACGTAATATTTTCCATATAAAAAGAATTCACTCATACCTTGTATGGAGAAAAACGCATACACTTTGAAACTTTGTTTAAAAAAATAAGGGCATACGCAGATATAATGGAGTGACCGTATATAAAGTCAGGTCTCAATCAGGTCGCCGTAGACTAAATTGAGTTACTCGGCTTTTTAAAAAAATGCACGATCAAATTTAAAGACTTTCACCCGAATTCATAAAAAATAATAATGCCATTTCTTAATAAAAAAACATAGGCACTATGATTTTAAATGTACTTCACTGTATAAACTACACACTTATACAGAGGCACTATAGTTACTAAATAACACCTAATGCTCTGGTTATCTTTGAAGAGTCATCACTACACTGGTTATGTGCTCCATGGTTTGCTTACTAGCGCTCATTTGCTTTATTGATGCCTTCATCATCTTCGTAAAGGCATCTACTACGTCGTCCCTCTCATCTGCCTGCTCAAGAGGTGCGCATGCCTGTTTAAACGCATCCACAGCCTCGCAAAACAAATTATCTACTTCGATTTCTTTGCTCCTCTTTTTTCCCCGACGATTTGTAGTCGTGGAGGCTGTAGGAAAAGCCAACACTTCAGCGGTGCAGACTGTAAGTGGACCAGGCGAAACGGTGGAGTCTATAGGTAGAACAGGTGGCGAAGATACCAGGATCTAAAGACTTTCGTCAGCGATTGGTGGCGATGGAAGGGAATCCTGAGGCGACTCCGGCAAAAAGTCCATCAAATTCCTGGATGTTCGGCACCTGAAATCATTGTTTGTTGGCTTATGTACATATTTATTCTTATTTAAATCCCTTACCTGTTTGGAACAATTTGCTGCTTGAGGAAATTGAACGAGTCAATCAATGGCCATACTTTTTCTGCTGACGCACCACTTCCAGGCGGAGCATTTATTCGGAGGATCTCCTTTCCATACCGTTCCCTCAAAGTCAACCATCTTCTTGAACATTGTTCATCTGCAATAAAGGAAAATATAAGCACAATGTATTAAAGCCTCTATTCCACTTACCAGTGCAGTTCATATCATTTGCAATATTTCTCCATATATCCGCTTCTCGCTCCAATAACTTGTACCCCGGACAGGATTTATCATATAACTCTTTGTTGGCAGACACCACAGTATATACAGTAATAAACCTTTTCGCAGTTTTTCACCAATTGGTCCCCGAGGAGTACTTTTGGGTTGAGTGTAGCGTTTCCGTTTTGCGCGCACGGCAACACTTACTGTGGGGAATTTCGCCTCATGATTAGAAAAAGCTCTTTTCGAGGATAACTTATATATAATTCTGTTATTTATGAACAAAATGTAGGTTAAATATAATATCAATGCTTAATTAAGAATAATATCAATAGTAAAGTACATAATTAATGATTGTGTTTCTTTAAACTGGAAACTCAAATCGTAATTATAGCACTGAATGGAGTTTTTATATAAGTATGTAAGTTTAAAATCACTAAAATATCATTGTAAGATTACATTATTATGAAAAACTTGAATTTTGTGAATTTATCAAGGAAAATTCTAAACTCCCGAATATATCGAGCCCTAACCGCCAAAACAACGTAAGCGACATTTTTTTCGAAATTTTATTTTTGATGCAGAAAAGCATCTAGAGGCTCTAGGAATATTTCTGCATCAAAAATAAAATTTTTAAAAAAATGTCGCTTACGTTATTTTGGCGGTTAAGGCTCGATATTTAAGTCTTTATTCCAAAACAAAGCAAGTTTTGTATAATTATATAGACTCCAAAGCCTGCCAGCGCATCCGCCCAGAGAACTCATTAAGAACAACCAAGCTCCTCAAAAATACTCAACATCAAAGTATAGAATGTTACAAATATGAATCATACACACATACAATAGTAATTGTTATGAGCGGCTACTGTATAAACTCATGACACGCATTTGCTTGGAGACTCCGAACGTTATGGTGGTCATAAGTTCAGCCAGCACATTCAATGGTAACATGCCACTACCTCTGGTTATACGTTGGATATCGGAATATTGCAAAATAAGTAGCAATTATCTCTTATAATTATAAGAAAAGTGTTTGTTTACAAAATTACCTGTGCCACGCTGCCATAGTACGGTTGTTATTCCCTTTTATACTACAGTAAATTTGTATGCAACTCGGAATCGGCAAAATTCATGCTCCTTCTCATTATCAACCCTGATCAGATTTTACCCCCGAGGAGTACTCAAAAAGGTTTATTACTGTATATACTGTGGCATACACGAGCAGGATCAATTTCTCGTCATCCATGGCGCACAATTTTCAAAATACATATGATTGGTTTGTGTTTTATGCTTTCTTTTGATGTTTTCATTCCAGCTGATTGACAGTTTGACACCTATGATGCCAGATCAAAAAAAAATCCCCGCAAAAATTTGTCATCACATACAGCTTTTCTTAAGAATTACCAAAACGAAAATATGGTAAGCCTGATTCTGTCACCGATCTCAATTTCCGTAAGGCCGTAAGAATATTTTTAACTAATCGCCAACGNCATTCCAGCTGATTGACAGTTTGACACCTATGATGCCAGATCAAAAAAAATCCCCGCAAAAATTTGTCATCACATACAGCTTTTCGTAAGAATTACCAAAACGAAAATATGGTAAGCCTGATTCTGTCACCGATCTCAATTTCCGTAAGGCCGTAACTTAAGAATATAAAATTAACAGGTTCTTAAGTTTCTTACCGTAAGAATATTTTTAACTAATCGCCAACACGTTTTCTCATATGAGAGGTTGGCCAAAATATTAAGTTAAGTTACGTTAAGTAAATTAAGTCTAGACTAACTGGGCTTTCACGCAAACAAAACAATTGAATACAGAGAAATAGGCAAACAAACAAAACATAAAGTTAGTGCTCACAACACAAGACAAAACCATTCGTTTAGTGATCCCCTAGTATACATACATACATATGTTTGTATGTACATACTGTGCATATCAGAGGACGTGTCATTTTGCAAATACGTTAATACACACACGCACAATTCTCAGAAATCTACTGAAGCATTTGAACCATCCTGCTAACTACATTCTTCTCCTTCTTTATTGGCGCTGTAACCGCCTAAGCGATTTTGGCCGAGTCCAAAACAGCACGCCAGTCATTCCTCTTCTGTGCTAACTGACGCCAATTGGAAATGCCAAGTGAAGCCAAGTCTTTCTCCACCTGGTATTTCCAACGCGAAGGAGGCCTTCCTCTTCCTCTGTTACCAGCATCGCGGCCCGCGTTGAATATTTTCAGAGCAGGAGCGTTTCTGTCCATTCGAACGACATGGCCAAGCCAGCGGAGCCGCTGAATTTTAATTCGCTGTACTATGTCTATATCGTTGTAAAGCTCATTCAGCTCATCGTTAAATCGTCTGCGATATTCGCCATCACCAACGCGTAAATCTTTCGCAGAATCTTTCTCTCGAAAACTCCAAAAGCCGCCTCATCAGATGCTTTCATTGTCCATGCCGGTGACGGTAATAAGATCAACGGAAATAAGGTCAATTNCAGATTTTACCCCCGAGGAGTACTCAAAAAGGTTTATTACTGTATATACTGTGGCATACACGAGCAGGATCAATTTCTCGTCATCCATGGCGCACAATTTTCAAAATACATATGATTGGTTTGTGTTTTATGCTTTCTTTTGATGTTTTCATTCCAGCTGATTGACAGTTTGACACCTATGATGCCAGATCAAAAAAAAATCCCCGCAAAAATTTGTCATCACATACAGCTTTTCTTAAGAATTACCAAAACGAAAATATGGTAAGCCTGATTCTGTCACCGATCTCAATTTCCGTAAGGCCGTAAGAATATTTTTAACTAATCGCCAACGCGTTTTCTCATATGAGAGGTTGGCCAAAATATTAAGTTAAGTTACGTTAAGTAAATTAAGTCTAGACTAACTGGGCTTTCACGCAAACAAACAATTGAATGCAGAGAAATAGGCAAACAAACAAAACATAAAGTTAGTGCTCACAACACAAGACAAAACCATTCGTTTAGTGATCCCCTAGTATACATACATACATATGTTTGTATGTACATACTGTGCATATCAGAGGACGTGTCATTTTGCAAATACGTTAATACACACACGCACAATTCTCAGAAATCTACTGAAGCATTTGAACCATCCTGCTAACTACATTCTTCTCCTTCTTTATTGGCGCTGTAACCGCCTAAGCGATTTTGGCCGAGTCCAAAACAGCACGCCAGTCATTCCTATTCTGNCTTTCCAACGCAGAGGAGGCCTTCCTCTTCCTCTGTTACCAGCATCGCGGCCCGCGTTGAATATTTTCAGAGCAGGAGCGTTTCTGTCCATTCGAACGACATGGCCAAGCCAGCGGAGCCGCTGAATTTTAATTCGCTGTACTATGTCTATATCGTTGTAAAGCTCATTCAGCTCATCGTTAAATCGTCTGCGATATTCGCCATCACCAACGCGTAAATCTTTCGCAGAATCTTTCTCTCGAAAACTCCAAGAGCCCCCTCATCAGATGCTTTCATTGTCCATGCCGGTGACGGTAATAAGATCAACGGAAATAAGGTCAATTGACTTTATTTCAAACCCTGGTGCGAAATAAAGTTAATTGACATTATTATCTTTTCAAAAGCGAAATAAAATCCATTAACATTATTGCTCTTTCAAACATTAAATTTGCTAAGCTTCGCGGCGGCCCGCGTGCACCGCGCGACTGGCGCGCCACACCACCTCACGTTATATTCAATAATACCCTCTAATAATAATAATAATAATAGATTGGCGCTTACACATATGTTAGTGTTTGGCCGAGCTTCTCCTCCGATTTGTGGCGTGCGCATTGATGTTGTCACACAAAGCGGAGGGACTTACAGTTTTGCGCCGACTCCGAACGGCGATTGTATTTTTATGAGAAGCTGTTTTTCATGGCAGAAATACACTCGGAGGTTTGCCATTGCCTGCCGAGGGCCGCTGTTAAGAAAAAAAACTTTTTTCTATATTTTTTGCGATGTTGCTATGACCAGGGTTTGAACCCAGGCGTTGCGGAGTGGAAGCGCGCACTGCTTACCACTACACCACAGCGGCCGACAATAATACCCTCTATCTGCACACTTTTCACAAAAATGAGATTCTGATATAAAAATCCACCTAAGATTTAACTGTCATGGTTGATATTAATGCTACCATGGTGGAATAATACAAGGTGTTGGATATTGACAGCGTTCTCGCTCTAATCCGCCATCTTGACTCCCTTAGCAAAATCGATGTTTCCCTCTTGAAAAAACTACATTTTACCGCCTTAAAAAAAGTACTAAACTACCTCATTCCCTATTCTAAAACTGATTTGCAATCACTGAACAATTATTTGACATTTACTTTATTCTTATTCGTTGACAACGGAAAATTAAATAACAAATTTTAAACTTTAATTCGACAAAAAACGGGGGCTTTGTGTATTCTCCAAAGGATTTACAGCGAGATGGGCGCTGTTTTCAGGCACTCACTGAGGGAAGCTTGAATTTCTGCTGCGTGAGGCAAAATACGCCTATAATAATTTACAATACCGAGGAAGCGGCGCGAGTCAACAACTGTTTGAGGCTTTGGATAACTTTTTCCTCAGGAGGCTGGTAACAATGCTGGCTCACAGAATAGCCTAAGTAGACTACTTCACTTCCACCGATATGAAATTTTTTTTATGTTGATTTTTAAGCGAAAGTCTCCTGCAGTGCGCCATCCACCGGACTCTTTGGGCATCATGTGGATGGGACTTGTCCATTGATTGCTCGAAGGTGTTATGACACCATGATGCAGCAACAGATTAAAATCTTCTTTTGCGGCGTTTAACTTCTCACCAGTGAGTTTGCGTGGGCGCTCGTGGACTGGGGGACCATTGGTGACAATGTGGTGTACGGTTGTTTCACTATCGACATTTGGTGCAGCATCACGTAGTGTGATCTCTATGTAATCCTTCAACAGGTTAGCTTAGAATGCGTCTGACTTGCTTTTGGACAAATTCGACGTAGGGTGCACAATTGTCGTGATGCTGTCAATTTGTATAAATTTATACCAAACTCGGTGCACTTAATTATCTTGGCATGGAAAAGCAATACGTTTAAAATACGAAAACTCC